TTTAAGATTATATTTCAGACAGTTCATTCAAATGATAAATTGATAAGGCATTAATTCATTATATTTTGAAAAAATGCAATTTTTGCACACATTTCAATCAAAACCCTATATGTGCCTATTTCTCCACATTCCACTTTTGGACTTAATCCTTGTTTTGGTGTGATGGGTCGCATATTGTGTCGGCTGGGTCAGGGACTACAGGTGGAAATTAGCACCTAGAGCTATAACCTGATACAGTGCATCTTTCCTTTCATGGCTAATGTATACTGTATATTGTCCCTGTTTTAAATAAAATCTGTCTATCTATATAAAAGTACACCTACTCAAATAAAAATTTATTTTAGGCTATAATCCACTGATTTATCTAATAATTTCAAATGTCTTGTATAAATCAATTCAAAGTTGCTACTTCAGCTCACCTGTGGTGGTGTTGGTGTAGAGCCACTACGGCCCCCTGACATAATCTCGTCTGTGATGTCTTGACCGCCTCGATTGGGGTCTCTTATTCTGATCTGTGAAGCAAAGGAAACCAATGAAAGCTTTGTGTTAAAACCTGGATAGAACAAGAAATGACAGGCTGGACAGTGGAGGAGAGGAGCCTCAGCTTTTCAGGATTATCACTCGAGTTAAATGTAAAAAAAGAAAAAAGTTTTCAAGTCAAGAAGTGAACTTGTACTGGAAGAATTGCCTTCTCATCGTGCAACTCTTACAGTCACCAATGGTTTGCGTCTCCTCCCTTTGACCATGACCGTCTTTTTCTCATTCAACAAAATCCACATTTCTCACAGTCTGAACATGGAAGCAAAACTAATCACAAACACCGCGTGCCATGAAAATTCCTGCGCAGCGCAACTGAATGAACTCTGTGAGTTACCAGACATGTTCTCTGACAACATGAATTGAATTAACTAACCTGAAGGTGGGAAGCTGAATTACTGGTTGGTTTAAGCTGGTGAGAAAATGCCTTAATCTTACAAAGCACAATCAACAGACAACAGCAGGCTTCTATGTGTGTACGTACACACACACACACTTGTTTTTATATCCTTGTGGGACCCGTCCATTGACTTCCATTCATTTTTTGGTAATTTTATATCCTAACCCTGACCACAAACCCTAAGGCTAACCTCACAGATACCTACCTGACCTAACTACCTGACCTGAACTAACCTAAACTCAATTCACACCTTGGTCCTAAACCCAACCCCCACACCCAAAATCAGCCTCTGAAGTTGTGGGGCCCAGGCTTTGGGCGCCACAAGGAACACGGCAGCACGACGGCTCAGTGGTTAGCACCGACGCCTCACAGCAAGAAGGTCCTGGGTTCGATCCCCGGTTCGGACC